ACTGTGCTGCTTCTTTTCATTTATCAAAATAGGGGTGATTGATGAAGTCTTGGGAATGGATGATTTTATTCAGGGAGGGTTGGAGTGAAAAGCAAAAGCTGCAAAATGATGCTTGTAAAGTATTTAAGGGATGGCCACAGAAAAAGACCAAGAAGAAACATTTTGGGAAAAAACGTCTGGAGAGCGCAGTGTCTAAGGAGGGAAAGGTTAATAACATTTATCTGATGTAGTATAGAGCTCAGGGAGGATGACAAACAGAAATATATTTGTTGGATTTTATGATTAAACAAATGAAAAAAGAGATGCAGACCAGGACACAGTGAGCTGTAGGGTGCAAGATAGACCTGAGTTTGAATTCCGACTGCCACTTGTCTTGCTGCATTATGTTTGGAAATTTGCTTATTGAGCATTAGTTATCCCACTGTTTAAATGGGGGTGATAAGGCTTGTCTTTTAAGGTTGCTGAGACGTTTAACTGAGAGAATGATCAGCACTTGTTTGTGTCTTCTTTAGAAATGGTAGTTGTTGACATCACATTTTGATACCTTACTGGCTGATCTAGGATATCTGACTTCAACTGGTCTCTATTACACAAGTCCTGTATCTGTTGTTTTTGACTTGCTGTACTAATGGATATTCTTTTGATAGTATAGTATAGATTCTTGAGAATTGGTTCAATTTTAGCTTTCACTTGCATTTATTAATTGCCAAGGGTTCTAAGAATAGAACGTGATTTAGGTATAAGAGTTTCTACCTAAAATTTGGATTTAAAAAAAAAGGAAAGAAACCAGGATTGACTTATAAGAAGTCAATTTAAAGTAAGCCTGTTAGGATTCCCCTGGTGGCACAGTGGTTAAGAACCTGCCTGCCAGTGCAGGAGACACGGGTTCGAGCCTTGGTCCGGGAAGAGCCCACATGCCACGGAGGCAACTAAGCCCATGCGCCACAACTACTGGAGCCTGCACGCCTGGAGCCCGTGCCCCACAACAAGAGAAGCCACCACAATGAGAAGCCCTCGCACCGCAACGGAGAGTAGTCCCCGCTCGCTGCCACTAGAGAAAGCCCACGTGCAGCAACGAAGACCCAACACAGCCAAAAATAAATAAATAAATAAATAAATTTAAAAATAAAATAAAATAGAAGTCTGTTAGTGGCAAATACTCTTCGTTTTCCTTTAATCTAAGAAAGTCTTGATTTCCCCTTCATTCTTGGAGGATATTTTTGCTAGATAGGAATTTTGGAATTAATTCCTTGTCTTTCAGCACTTAAAAATGTTTTTCACTGCTTCTGCCTTCCATAGTTTCTGATGAGAAACCCACAGTCACTGGAATTGTTTTTCTCCTAAGTGGAAGGTTGTTTTTCCTTGGCTGCCTTCAAGATTTTAAAATTTTCTTTAGTTTTCAGTAATATGATTATGATATATCTGGGTACAGGTTTCTTTGAATTTATGTTGTTTGAGATTCATTGATTCTCTTGAAATTGTAAGTGTATATCTTTCACCAAATTTGGGAAGTTTTCTGCTGCTATTTCTTTAAATATGTTTTCTGTGTGCTACTCTTTATCTTCTCCTTTGGGGACTCTGATGACATGAATGTTAGACCTTTTGATATTGTCCCATTGGCTCTGTTCATTTATTTTTTCTATCATTTTCCTCTCTGTTCATCAGATTGGATAGTTTCTATTGCTCTATCTTCAGGTTTACTGATTCTCTCCTCTGTTATCTCCCTTCTACAGTCGAGCCCCTCCAGAGAATTTTGGGTTTACTTTGGATATTGTGTTTTTTAGTCTTAAATTTTTATTTGCTTTATACACCACACAGGCACACACACAATAATGTAATGAATCTTACTTCTCTGCTGAGACTCTTAACTATTTTTTTTTCCCCCCAAGAATCATCTTCCTGGCTTCTTGAAGCATGGTTATAGTAGCTGCCTTAAAGTCTTTGTCTGAAAATTCCAGAGTCTGTAGCATCTTGGGTTTGTTGTTTGTAGGTTGTCTTTTCTCTTGTGAGTTATTGAGATTTTCCTGATTCTTCATATGTCAAGTAATTTTGGATCATATATTAGACATTTTGATGTTAATGTTATGATACTCTGTCTCATTTAAATGCTATGGAGAATGTTGTTGTTGTTATTACTTTATTTTTCGGGATGGGAGGATTTTTTTAAGCGGGCATTTGATCTTGTTAGGTTCAGGTCATAAGTTTCTGCCCACCCTTCTGTGCACTAAAATTCCAATGACTAGTTTTCAAAGCCTTTGTTTCTATCTGTCCCGCATGTACACCACCGAATGGCAAATTGGGAAACCTGATAGTATGTTTAGGGTCAGATCCACATAGGCATAGTTCTTGGGTGACCCCAGGAGTGTTTATAGAACTTCATGGTGTCACTTTCTTGAGCTCCTTTCTCTTTGCAAGTTCCCTGACACTTTCTGGCTCTTAGAGACCCTTCTTCCTTATCCTATGGCTAGATAACTACAGTTTTCATTTTGGTGTTTTGCTGCACACTTCCACAACTGCATCAGCCTTTGATGCCAAGCAACAGGATGGTAGAGAAAGAATATAAACCATGGGAATTCCCTCCACACTCATGGGATCGGAAGGGATCCGCTTTCTTGAAGTTTTAGGTCCCTGTCCAGCCACTGCTGGCATCATCACTGCCACTGCTGCTGCCTTTGGATTGCTTGGGGGCAGGGTCTGAAAGAAAGGGAAAAAAACCCTCAGAGGATCGTCCTCCCTTTTAGGGGCCCCCTTTACTGCTTTTCGGACCAAAAAAAGAGAAGACTTCTCTTGGAGCCATTTCTGTCTGCACTTACTGTTCTGAGTTTGGACTGCCCTTGGGTCTAGGCTGAGTGATCCTAGGGGAAACAAAACCAGGAAACTCACTGCTGGGTTAGTAGTACTTCTAATTTTGGTTTCCTCTCTGAAACCAACTGCTACCATTTTCAGAGTCCTCAGATAGCTGCTCCATGCATTCTGTCCAGGTTTTTAGTTGTATTCGGGAGAGACAGGATAATTTATGCTTATTACATCATCTTTATCAGAACCAGAACGCGGATACCGTTTTAATTTCATTATAACTGTATTGTTCTTTTGTTTTGGTTAAGAAATTACTGAGCTACCAAGATGTACTAGACTTTGTTTGGAGATGTAAAGATGGATAATCTTTTTTTATTTTTTTTAACATCTTTATTGGGGTATAATTGCTTTACAATGCTGTGTTAGTTTCTGCTTTATAACAAAGTGAATCAGTTATACATATACATATGTTCCCATATCTCTTCCCTCTAGCGTCTGCCTCCCTCCCACCCTCCCTATCCCACCGCTCCAGGCGGTCATAAAGCACCGAGCAGATATCCCTGTGCCATGCGGCTGCTTCCCACTAGCTATCTACCTTACGTTTGTTAGTGTATATATGTCCATGCCTCTCTTTCGCCCTGTCACAGCTCACCCTTCCCCCTCCCCATATCCTCAAGTCCGTTCTCCAGTAGGTCTGTGTCTTTATTCCTGTCTTACCCCTAGGTTCTTCATGACATTTTTTTCCCTTAAATTCCATATATATGTGTTAGCATACGGTATTTGTCTTTCTCTTTCTGACTTACTTCACTCTGTATGACAGACTCTAGGTCTATCCACCTCATTACAAATAGCTCAATTTCGTTTCTTTTTATGGCTGAGTAATATTCCATTGTATATATGTGCCACATCTTCTTTATCCATTCATCCGACGATGGGCACTTAGGTTGTTTCCATCTCCGGGCTATTGTAAATAGAGCTGCAATGAACATTTTGGTACATGACTCTTTTTAAATTTTGTTTTTCTCAGGGTATATGCCCAGTAGTGGGATTGCTGAGTCATATGGTAGTTCTATTTGTAGTTTTTTAAGGAACCTCCATACTGTTCTCCATAGTGGCTGAACCAATTCACATTCCCACCAGCAGTGCAAGAGTGTTCCCTTTTCTCCACACCCTCTCCAGCATTTATTGTTTCTTGATTTTTTGATGATGGCCATTCTGACTGGTGTGAGATGATATCTCATTGTAGTTTTGATTTGCATTTCTCTAATGATTAAAGATGTTGAGCATTCTTTCATGTGTTTGTTGGCGGTCTGTATATCTTCTTTGGAGAAATGTCTATTTAGGTCTTCTGCCCATTTTTGGATTGGGTTGTTTGTTTTTTTGTTATTGAGCTGCATGAGCTGCTTGTAAATTTTGGAGATTAATCCTTTGTCAGTTGCTTCATTGGCAAATATTTTCTCCCATTCTGAGGGTTGTCTTTTGGTCTTGTTTATGGTTTCCTTTGCTGTGCCAAAGCTTTGAAGTTTCATTAGGTCCCATTTGTTTATTTTTGTTTTTATCTCCATTACTCTAGGAGATGGGTCAAGAAGGATCTTGCTGTGATTTATGTCATAGAGTGTTCCGCCTATGTTTTCCTCTAAGAGTTTGATAGTTTCTGGCCTTACATTTAGGTCTTTAATCCATTTTGAGCTTGTTTTGGTGTATGGTGTTAGGGAGTGATCTAATCTCATACTTTTACATGTACCTGTCCAGTTTTCCCAGCACCACTTATTGTAGAGGCTGTCCTTTCTCCACTGTACATTCCTGCCACCTTTATCAAAAATAAGGTGTCCATATGTGTGTGGGTTTATAAGATGGATAATCTTTAAGGTGCTTCCAGTAAGTCCACAGGTAGTCATGTGATGAGGGAGTGGAGGCAGAAAGTAAACATAATTTCATATTATTCATTAATAATAATTGAATTATTAATCTTATCTTTTTTGATCCATTTCTGCTTCAGGATTTGACTTATGGTTTGTGACTGAATATCCTATTTACGTTTCATTAATTTTCCACTTATTACCCGAAAATTTAAGGGTTGAAAAGTCTCTGGATTTGTATATGCTGGAGGAAATTAATACATAGCTATAATAAATATAATTTATATATGTAATTATAAGAAATTAAAATAAGAAATAATTTACTATTATATACTTGTTTCTCAGGTCTTAGAAAAATATCCCAATACACCCATGAGTCATAAAGAAATTCTTCAAGTTATCCAGAGAGAAGGACTAAAAGAAATCAGGTGAGTTATTTAAGTATTATTAGTAATAATTATAATACTTGATTAGAATATTTTGTAGTATATAGCAGTCTACTTTAGTCCTGAAGATTGATTATTTAGTAATAACTGCTTTGTTAATTTATGATTTATTCAGCTCAGATCTTTGGAGTTTTCAGTCATAGCACAGTTACAAAACCAAAGGTAAGTTAGAAAAAAATTCTTAGGAGGTAGCTATCTCCACACCCATGCACTTTAATTCTTAGGAAGGCCTGGAGCCATCTTCAAGCCTTCATCTATCAGTTCAGGCTTTTGATTTAATAAGCTTAGTCATTAGCAAATTTAGAAGTCCTCTAGTTCAGGGAGAATGGCAGATGTAAACAGTCTAGGAAAAAATAACCTTGGCCAAAAAGAATTAAATGGAAAAGATACATAAAGCAGTATGTGTTTCAAGTAATAGTCTTACTATGTTCAAATAAAACAGCCTGGGGTCAATTAATATAGGACCAAAGATAAAACACACTTTAATTTCTAAGAGCTTTATTGTATTACAATAGCACATAATAGTCACTGTTCATAGTCAAGACCTTCTGCCATCAAGAAATATTAAAATTATGTTCAGTATATTTTATATGTTAAGGCAGAAATCCGGGTGTCTACATTAGAGATATTTTCATTAAGAGAAAAAGGTTACAGTGCTACTAGTTGTTCTCACCTGGGGGTGGTATAGTGCAGGGGTCCCCAACCCCATGGGCCACAGACCGCTAGTGGTCCATGGCCTATTAGGAACTGGGCTGCACAGCAGGAGGTGAGTGGCAGGCGAGCGAGTGAAGCTTCATCTGTATTTACAGCCGCTCCCCATCACTTGCATTACCGCCTGAGCTCTGCCTCCTGTCAGATCAGCTGCGGCATTAGATTCTTATAGGAGCTCAAAACCTACTGTGAACTGCTTATGCGAGGGATCTAGGTTGCGTGCTCCTTATTCGAATCTAATGCCTGATGATCTGAGGTGGAGCTGAGGCTGTGATGCAAGTGCTGGGGAGTGGCTGCAAATACAGATTATCATTAGCAGAGAGGTTTGACTGCACAGAGACCGTAATAAATCAATTGCTTGCAGACTCATATCAAAATCCTATCAGTGAGTGACAAGTGAAAACAAGCTCAGGGCTCCCACTGATTCTGCATTAAGGTGAGTTGTACAATTATTTTATTATATATTACAATGTAATAATGGAAATAAAGTGCACAATAAATGTAATGTGCTTGAATCATCCCGAAATCATCCCCCACCCACCCCACCCCCTGCCTCAGTTCATGGAAAAATTGTCTTCCATGAAACTAGTCCCTGGTGCCAAAAAGGTTGGGGACCCCTGGTATAGTGTAATACCCATAGGGAAAGTGTTTAGGATTTTGGGGGGCTATTTTTGATTGTCACAATGATGAGAAAGGAGGGAGCACTGTGGCATTTGGTTATTACTCTGAGGAACAAATTCTACTAACGTATTCTAATATTTTTTTATAACACTATTGGGTTTTATAGAACAGGAATGAGCAAGAGATTTCATTTCTTTTCATAAAATTAGACTATTCATAAAAATTTCATAAAATTTTCTATTCCTAAAAATACACACTGGGGAAATAGACCAGGAAATCTTATGTAAAGAGATCAGACTCGGGCTTCCCTGGTGGCGCAGTGGTTGAGAGTCCGCCTGCCGATACAGGGGACACGGGTTCGTGCCCTGGTCCGGGAAGATCCCACATGCCGCGGAGCGGCTGGGCCCGTGAGCTATGGCTGCTGAGCCTGTGCATCCGGAGCCTGTGCTCCGCAACGGGAGAGGCCACAGCAGTGAGAGGCCTGCGTACCGCAAAAAAAAAAAAAAAAAGAGATCAGACTCCCATCAGTGCCCTAGGTCTAAATGACAATTGCAGGACCATCCGTCTCTAACACAGTAAGGCTCTGACTTTAAACTTGTCATTATTATTTCTAGAGAGTAGGCAAGAACAGTAAATAAGAAAGAATACTAAATAAATAAAGAACAGAAGGGGAAAAAAAGAAGCACTTAAAAAAAAAAATGTAGCAAGATGGTGGAGTCATCAAAAATAGCTTCTGACTTCACTTAGTAACAACTCACAAGAAGCTATTCTTGGTTAAACTATATTGTGGTGATACAGTTACGTGACCACAAAGCAGTACTTTTAAAGTCACCAGTGACTTCCATTTTGTCACCTCCACTGGACTTTTAGTTTTGCCTTTCTTGTTACCTCTCAGCATTATTTAGCACAGATGACTACTGCTTCCTTTTTGAAACTCTGTATCATTACCTGAAGTGACCAGACATTCCTACTTTCCTTCCTTGCTCTGCAAGCTCCTTCTCAGTTTTTTTGCTTATTATCTTCTCTCTAACTGAAGTGCAATCGACATTCCCGTAGCTTTTTGGGGGTCACTTTTGTCACTTCCCAGT